AATAGTTTCCTTTTTTTAATAAATGAAATGAAAATATAAGATTACCTTAAAATACAAAGAACTAAAAAAGCCATTGCTTGAATCTTTCACAATTAATGGTATTTGACATTTTCCTTTATTTGTTTAAAATATTTTTTTTTTTTTGAATGTCAATGAATAAACCTTTATACCCATTCATCATTTGAATAAACATAGGAAACCTCGTGTCGTTTTTTGTCCAAGATGCCATATACTTGTTGACTATTAGGCCTTTAGCCTTTCGATGACAATGATGAATGGATGGCCATTCCATATATAGGCCATATAATATGTCATTACGAGTTATTTTTATCCTTATTGACATTTTAGGGAAAAAATGTTGACACATGTGGCGCAAAAGGATTACTCACACGAGAAGTGGAAAACGAAAATCATTTTCCGGATATAAAAAATAAAATGTATGTGGTTCGGTGTGTGTGTGATTCGGTGTATGAAGTGGATAATTGTCTTGATACCTTCTCCACAAAGGAATACTGTCTTAAAAGAAGGTGTGAGAGAAAAAGGAATGTGAGAATTAACGAAAATAAGTGTAAGCTTTACATATGTTAACATTTTTAGTAAATTTGGTAGTGGAAATTAAAGAAACTATTCGATTTAATGAAACTTCTCACATCTTATAATCGTAACCTGCATCATGATTTTCTTAAAATTTCGAGTAGCCTAACAAGTCTTTAAAAAGTATTGGAACTTCATACATAAATCTTAAACTAAAACAAGTAAAAAACGTTAAGCTCGGCGGGCCGAACTTTTAATACGCTTCAGCATTGGATAAAAAAGTATCTGAATTCAAGCGTGTTTCGCTTTCAACTTCATATACCAGTAAGACCGTTTGGATAATGCAATTAAACTTATATGGGGGCCATACCCCTTTATATGGGGCCATACCAAAACGGGAACCTCTATGGACTATGGATTTTATATTTCAAGGATTGTCATCTATCAAATCTTCTAAAATACCAAATATGAAACAATTATGTGCGTAAATGTGACCAGGATTATCAAAATACCAAATATCGGTGGGTATCGTTATATGTGCGCTATAGGAAAACATGGAACTAAATATTCAAGGTTCTGCCACCGGGCTAGAACCCATTATGAACTACAAATACCAATTTTAAAAAAAAATCGCGGAAAAATGTGGCAAAAATCATCACATTAACGAATATCGGCAGGTACTGTTATATGGAGGCTATCCCAAAACCTAGACCTATACATACAATGTTTCGCCACACAAGTTAGAACCCATTATGAACTACAAATACCAATTTCTAAATAAATCCGTTAAAAATGTGAACGAAATCATTAAAACACCGAATATCGGGAGGTACCGTTATTTGGGAGCTATACGAAAACGTGGATCTATGCATACAATGTTTCGCCATACGAGCTAGAATCCATTAGGACCCACAAATACCAGTGTTTAGACAAATCTGTGAAAAAATGTGGCAAAAATCGTCAAATTACCGAATATCGGGAGGTACCGTTATGTGGGGGCTATACCGAAACGTGGACCTACACATACAATTTATCGCCACCGGAGCTAGAACACATTTTGACCAACATATACAAAATTTTAGACAAATCTGTGAAAAAAATTTGGCAAAAATCATGAAAATACCGAATATTTGGGGGTACGGTTATATGGGGGCTATACTAAAACGTGGACCTAAACACACAATGTTTCGCCACCAGAGCTAAAACCCACCATACCCTACAAATACCGATTTTTAGATAAATCCGTGAAAAAATATTTCTAAAATCATCAATAAACCGAATATCCGGAGGTACCGTTTCATGGGGCTATACAAATACGTGGACTTATACATGCAAGATTTCGTACCGGAGCTAGAACTCATTATGACCAACAAATACCAATTTTTAGACAAATTCGGGGAAAAAATTTGGTAAAAATCATGAAAATTGCGAATATATGGAGGTACCATTTTGTGGGGGCTATACAAAAACGTGGACCTATACATACAATTTTTCGTCACCGGAGAAAGAACCCATTATGACCAACAAATGCCAATTTTGAGACAAATCCGTGATAAAATTTGGTAAAAATCATGAAAATACCGAATATCGGGAGGTACTGCTATGTGGGGGCCTATACCAAAACGTGGGCCGATGTACGAGTAACTCATTTTCAATACCAACCATCCTAGACACAAATTGTTCTGCTAAATTTTGACGCTCCACATCAAATAATGTGGGCTGTATCGTGATTTCAACAGACAGGCGGACAGACCCTCCTTTCCAAAATTTCCCTGCTGTTATATATTATATTTTTTTAAAATTTACTTAACATCTTTCTGACGGAATATCATAGATTCTTTCGTCGTCCTACACCATAAGTGGTAATGCCTTCAACCGATTTCGAGTTAATTGTGCACCAAATGACCAGTATCAGTCCAAATGACCTGAATTTTGGGACATCAACCGAAAGAAGCAAGTACATCAAATTTTGATCTGATAAAACTATAGCTTCCATGTACATGTTTCATCCGATTTGGGGTTTTATGTCTCTCACATGCGTTATATGCAATCCACAACATTGATATTTGGCACCAGATATCAGATACAGCTTAGAAATACATCTGCCAAATTTTATAAAGAACGGTTCAGATTTGGATATACCTTTATTCGATTTTAGGTTTATTGTGCACCAAATGGCTAATATCCGCCCAATATAGAGTGAATTGTGGCACATCCGATCGAATTAAGTCTAGAAGCAAGTACTTCTAATTTGGTGAAAATCGGTTCAGATATAGCTATAGCTCCCATCTATATGTTTTATCCGATTTGATGCTAAAATCCCTTACATGCGTAATATACATTCCACAACAATGATATTTGATACCGGACATCAGATACAACTCGAAAATAATTCTACCAAATTTTATCGAGATCGGTTCTGGTTTTTATAAACCATCGATAAACCTCTTCATTCGATTTTGCGGCTATCGTCCACCATATATGTAATATCAGCCCAAATTGGTTAGATTTTTTTTCATATTCAACCAAATTTTTCCATTTTTTTCATACAGGGTGAGATGAAAAAACTGCAACCAACTTCAGACTGCTGTCACTTCTAAGCCACTCGTCCGACAGCTATTAAAATTATTTCAGTGACAGCTCATTATATTGTTTAAAAGCGTATGAAAGCATTGTGATGAGAATTCTCCAGAAAGAAAGGAAGTGGACGGAAGGAAACAACAACATCAGCAGAAATGGTTCGAAAAATAAAGAAGCTACTTGATCGAAATGAGCACGGGGCAAAGCCATTGAAATTCCAAAAAGTGCAAGAACTTACACCGCCACAGAAAGAATATAGACTCAAAATAGCTAAAGAGCTGCTTCGCTTGGCCGAAAGTGGTGAACTGCCGAATTTGATTTTCTCCGATGAGAAAACATTCGTTGTCCACCAATTTGTAAACAAACAAAATGCAAGTAAACAACTTGCAAATGTGCAGCTTCGGTCGGCCACCAGAACTCAAGCGCCGGCCATGGTGATGGTGTGGGCCACCATGACAGACGATTGTAGCTCTCCGTTCGTATTAATCGAATGGGGCATCAGAATAAATACAGAATATCACCCCCGAAAATATTCTGGACGGTGTATTAAAGCCTTGGACACGCAAACATTTTGGTCGCAGAATAAGGTTACTCGCTTCATTTTGAGGGTACAATGGCCACCCAAATCTCCGGATACCAATCCGTTGGACTATTGTGTCTGGAATATTTTGGAAAGCAAGGTCGGCACTAAAAATTACCAAAGTGTCGATCTCCTCAAGCAAGCGCTTATAAAAATATTAAAAGTAAAGTAAATCAAGTAGCGATATAAAATCCAAATCTGATACGTTTTAATATTTTTCAGACATATGTCAGATACGCACCTCTTCTATGAAGGGTCAACTGTTTGAATAATCAAAACGCAAGTCCATATATATATTTAAATAACCAAACATTGGTTGAGCGTATGCAGCTGTCGGCAATACCGACAGATTTCATTTAACTTGTTTTTTATGAATAAGTTGTCAAACACGATGAATTTGTTAAAAATATTTTCAAGAGTATAGAATTGCTTTCAAAAATGTCCAAGCCATCGAGGATTTGTTTGCCTTCACTGTCTTTTGTTCTCTGTAAATAGCACAAACTATGCCTTGCATGTTGGTAAGCCAAGTGATACTTCCTCATTTGTTTTGTGTTGGTCTAAAAGATTTGTTAATGGGTTTAAGAATTAAAACCTTAAACTTCCCAGGATGTAAATAATTATTTGTCTTAAGCCTTTTTTGTCAAAAAAAAAAAAAAAAAAAAAAAAAAAAAAAAAAAAAAAAAAAAACAAGGACCTTTCCCAAAGAATATCAAGTTCGCAAGAGAGCATCCTAAACATTCATTTTATATATGACGACGCTGAATTTTTCCCTTTACCACCACTTACTGCATTTGAAATATTAACAGTTTATATGTTTATGATATTATTGCTCTATGCTTATTCGAAGTTATCTTCTTACTTTTTTCTGTTTTTCCAGTTTTTGTTGTTATTACATATGTTAAGAATTGTAAAGTACCAATGTTGATACTTCGAATTCAACAAAATAAAAAATGAAAAAAAATCATAAACTAGATAATGTACCCTAAAGTCATAACACTCTTTAAGTTATGCTTATGGTTTTTTTTTACATTTTAATGCCAAAAGCAACAAAGAGCATCCCAAGCGAGATAAAATACAATGTAAAAACTTTAGCTGAACTTTATAAATTTGTTGAAAATATGTTTATGATGGTAAAATATATTACATTTTTTTTTTATATTTGTAACAAGATAAAACCCATATAATATTTACTCGTAATGCCATGAAGAAAACTCTACGGAAGTGGATATGTCCTTAGGGTGGTTGGTTTAAGTTTAATATGTTTTACAATTAAATTATGATGTTTCTCCAAGAAAACTAAACTTACCGGTACGTTTGAAGTTTTTTCTTTTTTTTTTTTTTTTTTTTGAATCTGTAAAGAGAAAAAAATATGGTGAATAAAGAAACATAATAACTCAGTAAAGAAATGACTTTGGATATTACAAGTAAAGCTGTCGATAATAATGTATGCGTGTGTGTGTGCATTGAGAAGGAACCGAAATAGAGCCATAGTTACTTTTGAAATAGAGCCATAGTTACTTTCTGTCAATGTATTTTAGTGAACAAAATGCAGGTAGCATTTATTATCCGATTGAGATGAAATTTTCCAAACAATATTTGTTTGGTCCAAGAACGAACCCAATTGAAATTAGTGATAATCGGTTAAAATTTAGCTTCCATATATCTTCAACCGACTTCGTGTCAATTGTGTACCAAATGGCCTATATCAGCCCAAATGGATTGAATTTTGGCAATTCCGAATGAAATTAGTCCGAGAAATAAGTAATTAAAATTTAGTGAAAATCGGTTCAGATATAGCAATACCTCTCATATATATGTTTTATCCGATTTGGTGTCACAGTCCCTCACTTGCGCAATATGCACTCCACAAAAATGATATACTGCTCGAAAATACCTCTTACAAATATTATCGAGATCGGTTCAGATTTTGATATAGCTCCCATATACACGAAGAGGTTAAAAAATTGCAACCAACTTCAGACTGCTGTCATTTCTAAGCCACTCGTCCGACAGCTGTTAAAATTATTCCAGTGGCAGCTCATTATATTGTTTACAAGCGTACAAAAACATTTCGGTGAGAATTTTCCAGAAAAAAAGTTATTCGTGATGGAATTCAAGGGTGATAGTGTCTTTATGTTTGGCTGGAAAACCACAAGTGGTTATCGTTAGAGAACTCCAGCATTTAACTGTGAGTAAATCTTTTGTGCCTCGTACCATCGCTCGTTACCGTGTTGCTGGTATCGTAGCCCGACGTCAAGGAAGTGGACGGAAGAAAACAGCAACATCAGCAGAAATGGTTCGAAGAGTAAAGAAGGGACTTGATCGAAACCCACGTCACCGTGACCGAAAAATGGCTCGTGAGCTAAATATATCGCAATATTCCATTCGGCAAATATTGAAAAATGAGCTCGGGATAAAGCCATTGAAATTCCAAAAAGTGCAAGAACTTACACCGCAACAGAAAGAAAATAGACTCAAAAGAGCTAAAGAGTTGTTTCGCTTGGCCGAAAGCCAAGCCGAATTTGGTTTTCTCCGATGAGAAAACATTCGTTGTCCAGTAGTTTGAAAACAAACAAAATGATCGTGTTTACTTGCCAAAGAGGTAAGCTGAAAATGAGTACCTTCGATTGGCCACCAGAACTCAAGCGCAGGCCATGGTGATGGTGAGGGCCGCCATAACAGCCGATGTCGCTCTCCGCTCGTATTAATCGACCGTGGCATCAGCATAAATGACGAATAGTATCGCGAAAATATTCTGGAGGGTGTATTAAAGCCTTGGGCACGCAAACATTTTGGCCGCAGACCTTGGACATTCCAAAAGGACTGAGCACGCGCCAATCAAGAATAGTTACAAAATGAGGTTTCTCGCTTCATTTCCAGCGCACAATTGCCACCAAAATCTCCGGATACCAATCCGTTGTACTATTGTGTCTGGAGTTTTTTGAAAAGCAAGGTTGGAACTAAAAAATATGGGAATGGGCCAAAACACCATAGATCAACATTCGGGCAGCATCTGACGGTTTCATTGGCCGTTTGAAGGCCATAATTTGTGCAAAAGGTGACCAATTCGAACAAATCTAAACTTATTCTTAAATTTGATGCTAGTTCCGACATTTTTTGCTTTCGTTCATAAAAATTAAAAAAAAAATAATAATACAAATTATGGCGTTTAGTGAAACCCGGTCCGGTACATCTATTGCTCCAATAAATATTTTTGATATAATCCTTATCAAAGTCATATCATGCATTATACAGCAATGCTATTTGGATCATAGTTGGTATGATCTACTTCACATAAATTCCCAATATATACTTTTTTGCTACAGGAGTTCTTCTAAATGCACATAGTGATGTAGGATATCATATAGTCGGCCCGCCCGACTTTTGACTCTTCCTTACTGGTTATGTCTTCGCGGGAATTTTTCAATATATTTCTACACAATAAAATACCCGTTATTTAACACTGACCTAAATTCCCGAAAATATGAAACAAATCAGTAAAAGAAAATTATATAAAATCCCATTAACACTCATACTTCCCCCCTCAAACACACGTTCCAACATTTCGTCAAACGATAACAATACATCAATACCCATCAATCCTATTGATTATTTGCCTTCGTTTCTCTTTGTGTGCAAAATTTCAAATTCATTTGTAATTATTTATTTATTTAACAACAACAACATCAAGTACAGAAATCTGGTCAAAATGTGTGGTCCAAATAATATGTAATCTTATTACAAATTCAATCGGATAATCTCTTTCATGTTTAAAAATAAACATCAGTCGAAATTGATTTGTTATTAAAAAAAAACGTAGAGGAAAAGAAAGAAGCTGGCTGCCATTTTTAAAGTAATTTCGAAATTGCTTTCATGCTAAAGCTAGAGGCGAATGAAGGTAACGTGAGTGGGGAAAGAGTGATTAATACTTTTTATGGACGTACATAGGTTTCGACTTTGAGAGAGGCATAGAGAGAATAAGATCTAGTGAAGATAATTCCAGTGGAAATCATTATATCATTACAATGGATATTGATACATGATACCTTGAATGTAATGGTACCTGATTAACAAGTGGAGGAAAACTTTATCCACTCCATTCGATGCTGGAAAAAATGTAAACTGACAATACCTTGTATCGATCTGGCTATGTCAACCTATTCTTTGGATAAATAGAGAGTGAAATAAAAAAAACTGCAACAAAGTCAAACGCGATAATTTTTACATTTTTTTAAATTTTTTTTTTTTTTTTGAATGAAAGCAAAAAGTGTCGGAAATAGCATCAAATTTTGGAATAAGTTTAGAATTGTTCGAATTGGTCGCCTTTGGTAAGAATTATGGCCTTCAAACGGTCAATGAAACCGTCAGACGCTACCCGAATGTTGCAACCACGGTCGGCGCATGAGTTCTGTTGGCCAACCGAAGGTCCACATTTTCAGCTGACCTCTTTGGCAAGTAAACAAGATCATTTTGTTTGTTTACAAACTGCTGGACATCGAATGTTTTCTCATCGGAGAAATCCATATTCGTAAGTTCACCATTTTCGGCCAATCGAAGCAACTCTTTAGATCTACCCGAGCTCATTTTTCAATATTTGCCGAATGGAATATTGTGATATGTTTTGCTCACGAGCCATTTTTCGTCTACTGCGACGCGGATTTCGATCAAGTCGCTTGTGTACATTTCGAACCATTTCTGCTGATTTTGTTTTTTTCTTCAATGTATTGGTAATTAGCTGTCACTGGAATAATGTTAACAGCTGAAAACAAATTCTAAGGTGATTAAGCCCTGTCTGTCCGTCCGTCTGTCGTAATCACGCTGGAGTCAAAACGAATTAAGAAATGAAGCAACAATTTTACACAGCTCAGTCTTTTGTGTGCAGGCAGGTCAAGTATAAAGATGGGCTATATCGATCCACGATATCGAATGGCCCCCATATAACGTTACCCCCTGTATTCAGTATCTTCATGGTTTTAGCCACATTTTTCAATGGAATTTTTTTCAAAGGAGTTCTTCGTAACTACTTTTACCACTGAAAAAGAACTGTCTATAAAGGTCTACGATTTCGTACATCCCCTGCCTATATTAGATATTTTAATGATTTTAGACACATTTTTCAATGGAATTGTCTAAAATTCTACACAAGGAGTTCTCTGTGAGTACTTTATCCCCTGAAAGAGTATTGTCTATATAGGTTTATATTTTATTATAGCAATCGTATAACGCTACCCCGGGGTATTCGGTATTACATTATTCAGCGTAATTGCGTCAAATTTCGTATTTGAAGTTCGTAATGGGTTACAAACTATGCCTGAAAATTGCTTATCCAGCACCACGTCTTCCTATAGCCCCCATATAAAGGTTTTTATTTAAGCGGTATTTTTCGACGTTTTTATTTAAATATTTCAAGTTCCTTCAAATTGGTGGAGGGTATAAAAAGTTCGCCCCAGCCGAACATAACTGATTTTCTACTTATTATGACTTATATCTAAATTTGATGACAAATAATTTTGTCTTTGGAATTATCCTCGTTGAATGATATTTAATAGAAGAAGTTAGATTGAACTCATATAAGATTCGGCTCTAACTCTTAAATATGTTCTTAATATTTATAAATTTTATGCTTTTATGCTTAGATTTATGAAATTTGTGAAAAGTAATTTTAGAGGCAGATTTTAAAAATATTCAAAAAAAAGGACCAAAAACCACTTTGAGTGTCAAAATTTTCCACGAGAATAATTCTTACAGTGGTATTAGTAATATTGTTGACATTATTTATTATACCCTACACCACAAGGTGGTCAGGGTATTATGTCTTTGTGGATTTGTTTGTAACAAAAGGAAACGAGATAGGCACATCTGACACATTCTGAGTCGATTTATGCATGTCCGTCCGTCCGTCCGTCCGTCTGTCCATGTATTTTTTTGCATTTATTGCCCGATCCAGATGAAATTTTGCACAAATAATTTGTTTGGCCCAAGGACGAACCCTATTGAAAACGGAGATAATCGGTCAAAATTTAGATATAGCTCCCATATATATCTTCGTCCGATTTGTTTTTTATTGTGCACCAAACGTGTAATATCAGTCCGAATAGTATGGAATTTTGCACGTACGATCAGATTGGACCCCAAAATAAGTATGCCAAATTTGATCGAAATCGGTTCAGATATAGCTATAGCTCCCATATATATTTTTCATCCGATTTTAAATTAATTGTGCACCAAATGAGCAAAACAAGTCCGAATTTAAAAGATACAAATGCTTTGGCATATTTAGTTCTTTGAACTTTAAATAAAATAAAAATGTTCAAAATGTTTGTAAGAATGTCCTCTACTAGATAACAATTT